TCACAGCAACCACAAACTCTCAAGTCTCTTGCCTCAGCCTCCCAAGTAGCTGGGACTACAGATGCCCACCATAAAACCTGGCTATTTTTTGGTTGTAGTTGTCATAGTTGTTTGGCAGGCCCAGGCAGGGTTCAAACCCACCGGCTCTGGTGTATGTGGCTGGCACCCTAGCCGCTGAGCTATAGGCGCCGAGCCCAGAAGGAACATTTCTTGAACCTGATCTAGAGAACATGCAAGAGTGACTAAGGAAAGAGGATGGATATAATAAATACTAGAAGAAAGTAACAATTTGATGTCTATATATTTGGATTATGAAGGCCAGTCACAAAGTATAAGTTTTCTGGTTTGGTATATTAAAAGAATAATAAAATCTTAACAAAAATTAGGTCATTGGGAAAGTACAAGTATTGGGAAAGAATCAGTTACGTTTTGAACATGCTGAATCTTAGCCGCTGATATATATTCGAGTCTACAGACTTAAAAGTTTAGAACTGAAGTTTAAGCAAGAGAGAAGTCAGGGCTTACATTTTATTTTTGAGAATAACTGAACATGGACGGAATAGCGAAAATAAATCCTGGAAATGAATAAAAGCTACAATTAAAACTAATACTTGGTTGGGTGTGGTGGCCTCACATCTATAACCCTAGCACTCTGGGAGGCAGAGGCGGGTGGACTGCTTGAGCTCACGACCAACCTGAGCAAAAGCAAGACACTGCCTCTACCAAAAGTAAAAAAGCTGAGGCAAGAGGATCGCTTGAGCCCAAGTTTAAGGTTGCTGTGAGCTATGATGACACATCCCTACCCAGGGCAACAGCTTGAGACTCTGTCTCAAAGAAAATAAAAAGAAAGACAAGTGAGACCCCATCTCTAACAAAAACAGAACAAAATCAGCCAGGAATGGAGATGTGTGCCTGTAGTCCCAGCTCCTCAGGAAGCTGAGGAAGGACTGTTTGAGCCCAGGAATTTGAAGTTGCAGAAGCTATGAAGATGCCATTGCACTCTTTCTACCCTGGGCAACAGAGTGAGATTCTATCTTTGCCTATTAAAAAAAAAAAGAAAGAAAGAAAACACGCCCAGTGCCTGTAGCTCAAGTGGCTAAGGCACCAGCCACATACACCAAAGCTGGCAGGTTCAAATCCAGCCTGGGCCTGCCAAACAACAATGACAACTACAACCAAAAAATAGCCGGGTGTTGTGGTGGGCACCTATAGTCCCAGCTAAAGTACTTGGGAGGCTGAGACAAGAGAATTGCTTAAGCCCAGGAGTTGGAAGTTGCTGTGAGCTGTGATGCCACAGCACTCTACTCAGGGCAACAGGTTGAGGTTCTGTCTCAAAAAAAAAACTAATAACTGACATGATTAGTTTTGTTTATTCATAGGCAAAATGTTAAAATTATATTTCATAAGCCTTTAAGCTCAATTTATAATATATTTTAGTTATAAATCTCATAATCCTTGCATAAAATATAATCATGTTCACTTATGCTCTGCTATGGTTTTATTAATTCAGAAGTTTAACAAACTAAATGCTCCCTAAATATTTAACATTTTCATACTCAACTAATCAAATTCTCTTAGACATCTTAAACTACAATTACAAAGTAGGATGTCTAATATCCAGCCAGTAAAATATTTTAATTTTTAAAATTGTTATTTATTTTTTAGACATAGGGTCTTGTTCTGTCACCCAGGTTGAAGTGAAGTTGCCAGATCATAGCTCATGCAACTTCAAACTCATGGGCTCAAATGATCCTCCTGCTTCAGCCACCTGAGTTGCTAGAAGTACAGGTGTGCACCATTGTTACCCAGTTAACTTTTCTATTTTTTCTTTTTTTTTTTTTTGAGACAGAATTTCACTTTGTCACCCTCAGTAGAGTGCCATGGCATCATAACTCATAGAACTTCAAACTCTTAGGCTAGAGTGCAATTCTCTTGCCTCAGCCTCCCAAATAGCTGGGACTGCAGGTGCCTGGCACAACACCCACTATTTTTTAGAGACAGGGTCTCAGTCTTGCTCAGGCTGGTCTCCAACTCCTGACCTCAAGCAATCCATCCACTCCAGCCTCCTAGAGTGCTAGGATTCTAGGTCTGAGCTACCGCACCCAGCCAACTATTTTTTGTAGAGATGAGGTCTTGCTATGTTGCCTATAGCCAGTGAAATCTTTAGAAGCATTTACGGAAGTCTTGCAAATGTATTACCCATAAAGGACATATATACATGGTCAAGAATTTCTTTTAAATGTTTCATACATCTTGAAGCCATCAAAGCACACAATATCACAATAATGATAACTTTCACAAAAATAACTAAACTGCATTAACTTACTATCTTTATATTAAAAGTTTCAGGTTACAAATTATGGCAGACATGGAGATGTGCCACTGAAATACTTCTTCAAGAAAGGACTGTCTGGCTTGCTTGGGGGCAGGTTGCATGATCAGCAAATGCCTTCCAACTGTCTGCTCTTTCAGGGTCTGCTTCATGCTCTGCCGGGGGCAGCCCACATCTGTCAACTGAGGGAAGAGGAGAAGCATAAGGGTCAGGGATGAAACACTCTGACCTACAATACCAGCTCCAGAGCTCTCTGTTTCTACATTTGTTTCTGGAGAACCTACCTGCAACCTAAATTAACAGACCTCTTACAGCAACTAAGACCAATATTTGGTGTGTCAATTGAAATTCTTGTCACTACTTCCAGTGATGATTTTACTTTAGCCTCAAGTTAACAGAGTCCTTTTCAATGGTGAGGCTCTCTACCTGTTTACCCAATATATCACTGTAGTCTTATTCAGAGTAGTTTTCCCCTAATATGTGTATAAATTCTGTACACAAACCCAGCTTGTAGTATGTACAATCAGCATTGCACCGAGTCCAGGCTCTGCCACCAATTAGTTTTTGGAAAGTAGGCAAGTTGTCTATCTCTGAGCCCAATTTCCTTATCTGTAAAATAGGGATAATAATCTGATAAGGTTCTTGTGAACAATAATGAGTTAATGCATTAAAAGGTGTATAGAATAGCACCTAGACCATGGTATGTATTCAACACATGCTACTATCATTATTGGTCTGAGTCCTACATTGCCTATATATTTTTTTATCTGTAATCTGACAATTACAGAAAAAGTCCTTACATTTCATGAATCTTAATTATCATGCCCTTCAGATTTAGGACTGAAGTCCTAGATCTGACTTTAGTTGAACTTGTTTAACCACTGTTCTGCCTATCAGTTTAATGTTCAGAGTTTTCTCACATCTTGAAAATGTAAACTAGACCTGTGAAGATTAGATTGGGAGCGTGTATGTGAAAGGTTTGAATGAAATATAAAACATGAAAATATGAGATATTCCAAGGTTTTTCTGAAGCTTGAGAACTTCTGCAGTTACAAAATAAAATTTCTTTGCTCTGCAAATAAAACCTCACACTCACCCAAAATGATGTCCACTTTTGTGGTTAACGTTCAAATGAAACCAATTTAAAAGAAATAATTTTAAAATGATAGTGACCTACGGACAGCCTACTATAGGGCAAGATGAAGCTGCTGTAAATGTCTTTAAAACATCTGAGACTGGCTTGGTGCGTGTAGCTCAAGTGGCCAAGGCACCAGCCACATACACCAGAGCTGGAGGGTTCGCATCCGGCCCAGGCCTGCCAAACAATGACAACTACAACCAAAAAATAGTCGGGCGTTGTGGCAGGCACCTGTAGTCCCATACTCCCAGCTACTTGGGAGGCTGAGGCAAAAGAATCGCATAAGCCCAGGAGTTGGAGGTTGCTGTGAGCTGTGACGCCATGGCACTCTACCCAGGCCGATAGAGTGAAACTCTGTCTCTTAAAAAAAAAAAAAAATCTGAGACTAAATGTTAGTCGTAGGAAATCATCTATACTGAAAATTATGTAAATTATCTATACTGAAAACTGTTATTAAGGATTTGGCTTCTTTAAATACCGAAGAGATTTGATCACATATTGAAGAAGCATATTTAGTAAAATCAAAAGCTGCCCTTACTTTTGACCCCAAGTTGGGAATTTTCTGTCATTGGCGCAGTTCCTGAAAACACGATCCAATTTTCATTTAGTCATGTCCACGGAGCCTCGAAAGGCTAAAATATTGCAAACAATGGGACCTTCTATCTAACGCTACCCGCCCTTTAACAAATTCCCTCTCGTGAAGCGCATCTTGTTCAAGGTGCCAATTTGGAAAAACGGACTCCAGGTCCCCATGGACGGAGTTTCCCCAAAATGGAAGCGCCCAGCACGGCTTTGTCTGTGCTGTTTTTGAAAAGCGTCGAGGTTGTAGAATTATGGCTTAAACTTCAAATAGCGGATTGCTGCAGCCCGCAGAATGAGCATTCCCAAGTGGGTGGGCAGGTGGGTGCAGGCTGCCGGGCGCGCCTTCGCGGAGCGCGCCACTGAGAGGGGTGTCGCGGGGCAGCCGCGGCGCAGCCATTCCCCACCCGTCCCCGGTCGCCCACCGAGGGCCGCCCGAAAGGTCAGGCAGGGGGTGAGGGAGAAGGAGGGGATTTTCTTCAGGGTTCTAGCGGGGAACCAAGGAAAAGAGGCGGCGACTGCATCACCTGGCCTGGGGCGCGGCCTCGGGGAACAAAGAGGTGAGGAAGACACAGCTGCAGGCTTTGCGCGCTCCTCCGCGCCGCTGCGACCCCACACAGTCACCCGCGCCTGGGCTGATTAAAATGCAAATTCGTGCATTTTTCCACTCCAGCCCTACAGGGCCCCCAGCTTATGGGACAGCACCCAAACATCTGCATTCTAAACTAGCTTGCTGGCCGCGAGGGCCAGGGAAGTTTGAGAACAATCGCCTCACACCCAGCCTCACCGCATGCGCAGCGGCTGGAGCTGGGGGGACACGCCTCAACCGATCTTGGCTCTCTCTTTTGATCCCGCCCCTCTACTCAGTGCCGATTGGTGGCCGGGAGCAGCTCTGGTGCTGATTGGGCAGTGACTGAGTCTTTCAGGGCGTTTGTAGGGTTCGGGTGCTCCAGAGTGCTAAATTTATCTGTAGACCAGCGGGCGCGCCAGCTGCGAATTGGATCGCTATGGAGGTGGCGTAGACGATATCTCTGGGCTGAGAGCATCACCCTGTCTCCGAATCCTTCTTTCCCCTGTTTTGTTTTTCATTCCCCTCCTTTCCCCCGCCCCCTCCAGTCTGCGACGACTGGCTCTTGACCCTGTTTCAGGCCTCGGTGAAGGTGAGGAGCAGAGTTGCCACCGCGGCTAAGTGGTGCGCTCTGAAATGGCCGCTGCCTTGAGCTGTCTAAAATGGCGGTCGCAGGCTCAGCCGGGGACCGCGGCGCTGCTGTGCAGCCCAGCCGCGACGAAGACCGTTCTCCGTCGTTGATGGAGAAGAAATAGAAAGCTGGTATGGGGTGCCGAGATGTTTTCATGTGATCGTTAGCCGAGACGGCTGCCCGGGAACGCTAGAGTAGTCCTGAGACGAGCGTAGGCTGCGCCAGGAAGCGACACCCCAGACGTGGCGGGCTGCGGGCAGCGCGCACCTGTGACTGGGATTCGCTCAGGGATAGTTGGCCTGCGCCGCCCAGTGTGGCGGCGGTCTAAATATAGCATTTAGAAGTTGGAAGGGACCTGTACTCTGACCCTGCCCTCTTGCCCTTGAGGATATTATTCACGGCTGGAACCTGCTGAGGGTGTGGAGTGTAAGGCTTGTGTTATCTATCAATTTAACCGGATGGGACAAAAAATAAGAGCTCCCCCTTTCAGGGAGTGGAACGAAAACTATTCTTGAGTCCAGATTCTTTGTCCTCAGGAAATTGTGGAGATGAAGACCTCTTTTCTCAAAATAAAACTTCCTACTTTCTGTGTCTTTCTCTGGCAGCAAGGGAAAGGGATCCTTATCTTATAGGTAAACTAGCCACTCCACGATCTTCTCTTGCAAAATCCGAATCAAGACCGTGGATGGAGAGTCGACCACTCCTTTGCTCCCCATGTGAAACGGGGCTTTGTGTTGTTGCCAGTATAAGACTCTTAACTTTCTGGCAGTTGTGATCTATTGTTAATCCCATTTATCTACATAGCTTAACTCTTGGTAACCAAGTTTTTTTCAGTGCTTGAGGAATTTAAAGAGTAATGACTATGCAGGTGGGCTGCATAGTTGAATTTTTTGGGTTCTGTACTTGGTCTTTCACTTACAGGTGTTAACTTAAATAACTTAACCTTTCTGTATCATTAAAGGGAGGGAAGTTATTAATGGATCTCAACTCCAGTAGATATGAGGAAATAAGCACAGTTATCGGCACATAATAAATAGTGTTCACTCAATAAACATTGATTACCTGAAATTTATTATGGAGGGGACAAAAATGTTCAGGGCAAAACACATTTCATGTGACACTAACATATAATTACATTTTAGATTCAGTGCTTAGTTTTAGAGACATGAAGATAAAACTGTACTTAGAAAATTTAAGTTTAGATTTTGAAAGGTTTTTTTTCTTTTTTTTATTTTCTTGAGACCAAGTCTTACTTTGTCACCCTCAGTATGAGTGTTGTAACCTCATAACTCACAGCAGCCTCAGACTTTGGGGCTCAAATGATTCTTTTGCCTCAGCCTCACAAGTAGCTAGAATTACAGGCTCTCACCACAATGTCTGGCTATTTTTAGAGACAGGGTCTAGCCCTTGCTCAGGCTGGTCTGGAACTCATGAACTCAAACAATTGACCCGCCTGGGCCTCCCAGAATGCTAGCATTACAAGAATGAGCCACTAAGGTGGGCCTTGAAAGTTTGGAGTTTTTTTTGAAATGTATTTCTATGAAGTCATTGGGTAGAGGGAGCATCCCAAAGCAGTGAAGCTGCCAGGGTATTAAGCAGAATGAAAATACTAGAATTTTTACACTGCTAGGTATCTTATGTTTCAGTCCAAATCTGCATTGTAATGAACAGTCATTTGCACTGCATAGATCCAAAATTGTAATGAATGGTTATCTTGCAGGTTTGTAGTTAATTCTCCTTGTTGCAGTGTCTAATTTTAATTTTTTTCATTCTAGGCTTTTGGTTATTCCCCTTCCTACCCCATCCCTTAATTTTATTCCTTTGAAGAGTCTGCATTTCAAGCTGTCAAGGTGAAGAGTGACTACAGAAGGGAATACTACTCATTTCAGGTATCTTATCCTCTAGCCATTAACAGGAGAGCCATTCTGATTCAGGATCTAACATGAGAACACAAAGCTTATTTATTCTATAGCCAAATTATGAATCAAAAGTAGCTCTATTCCTTAACTTACAGGGCTAATAGTATTTTTTGGTAATCCTTAAATACCATTGTCCTTTTAGTTATGCTTTTTTGTAATCACATGAAGAATAAACCTGGTTAAAATAAGAGCTTATGTTTTCTTTAGGTCCTGATTAAGTCTTCACTTGTAGTATAGTGGAATGCAGAGTAATCCATAAAAATATATATTACTTTGAACAATCCTCAGTTTAGATAATATAAATATTTATATATGTTTAATTCCAAAGAAATGATACCTAATTTGGGGGCTACAATTTATTCTTCATTGTTAACATGTGATATTTCTGATATAGCAGAATTCTGTATTTTGCAAAATTTTGAATTGTATATGTATTTTTAATATACCTCATCAGAATTGTTGCTCGCCCTCAAGGGAGACTTTGTATGTATAATACTATCAACAATTAATAAATCTAATGATAATAGGCATAAGAAAGCTAAAAGAAATTTCAAGATGCTGTACCATCAGACAGGGCTGATAAATCATGGCCCATACTCTCTGCTTTAGTACATAAAGTTTTATTGAAACACACCCATGCCTATTCTTCTATGACTGCTGTCATGTTATAACTGCAGAGTTGAATAGTTGCAACAGAGAGTGTATGGCCCAAAAAGCCAAAAATATGTATATACGGCCCTTTACCAAAAAAAGTTTGCTAATGCCTACCATGAGACACGAATTCTTCCAGTTCCCTTTCTTAAAAAGATGTTTACTCTTATTTCTTAGCTTGTTGATTCCCAAATTATGTTTTATAGAATATTAATATTCCCTAGGTTAATAAGTTTTAAGAAAAAGATTGATGCTAACAGTAGTTTTTATTTTTATGTGATAATCTACCTTTAAGAAAAGGTGTGCCATGCCTGAAAGCACCAGGAAGTCGAATGAGAGATCACCTGATACACGAACATACGATGTTCCATCTGCTCATTGATGCATAGGCAGCATTTACACATTAACCGATATATTACTGTATGTCATCTCTTTGATGATTGCTCGTCTTCTTTGTATCCTGTCTTATGATTACAACACATTTGTGATAATCAATGTTTACTCTAAATTAACCATGTTTTGTACCACGAACTCATTGCCCATGGATCTGTTGCTAAAACAAGGAAATCTTAAACAAGTAGAATCTTTTTGTTACCAAATTGTATCTGACTCAAATGATCAAAAGGTTGGAATATTACAAAGTGAAGATGAACAGTTGCAGCCTTCAGTTTCTAAAAAATCAGAAAGTGAGCTTCCCGAGGTCAAATTTATGACTAATTCCAACAAAATAGCATTTAGTAAAAAACCAAAAAGAAGAAAATATGATGAAAGTTATTTGTCTTTTGGATTTACTTACTTTGGAAATAGAGATGCACCTCATGCTCAGTGTGTACTATGTAAGAAAATTTTATCAAATAGCTCTTTGGCCCCTAGTAAGCTTCGAAGACATTTGGAAACTAAACATGCTGCATATAAAGACAAAGACATAAGCTTTT